TGTCATTGGACTCGAGTTCGTGTTGTGGTAATACAAATCTAAAACCTAGAGACAATCACCATCTTCTTTTCTACCGTCAATTATATTTCATTAAGGCATAATGTTTAGGAGGTAATCCTTCTTTATTGTAATTTAACCAAACAAGCAACAATCTGTGACAAAAAGAGAATTAACAGGTTGGCCAAACGTGTGTGCGCCTCGTTTACAAGTGTGACGAAACGTTCCCTCTTTGGCGCACACCCAGTGCTCTGCCCCGTTCTCTCTTACCTATTATAAATCAGGATAATCCCAGGCATTTTGAGAATTCAATAAGTATAATTTCTTTGATGACCTTCCAAAGGCAACGAAAAACACGTCCGTTCGTGGGAGCGAGAATGTCCTAGATGGCGGTTAAAGGCGCGAAAGAAATGCCTGCATCAAATGACAAATCACGCGCGCGAGGCGATTATTCGCGAATGGCCGAATTCCCTATCCCCGTGGATTTTGACGCGCATTTAAGATGCAAGGAGGGACCCCTTGTGACGGTGGAATCGGCAGTGTTTCTGGTTTTTTGTTTTTTTTTTTTACAATAACAGAAATCGCCGCACGTACAGTAATTCAGAAATGATTGTAAAGAGAACCAAAAAAGGTTGTTTCTTTCTTTCGCTCTTTGTACAATTGATGTTTGTTGTTTCAAAGGCGGCGAAGGGAAGCAACAAATAAGCAAGGAAGGAAGGATCAACAAATGACGCATTACCTTTAGGAAAACAATTAAGTCTCGGTCGTGAGTTCGTTCACATCTATCACCAACACACGTCGCATAAGTCACGATTGGCTGATGGTTAATGAATCGCAGGTAAATTTGATAATAAAAGAACTCCTTCCATCGCACTGGCGCGCATCTCGTTGACACAAAGAAAACATCTTGGATAATAATGTAAATTTGCCGTATATTTGACACTACAAAGAAACCACCTTTGATAGTGTAAATTTATCATGTACTTGCTGTATTTGACGCTACAAAAAAAAAAAAAAAAAATTTTTTTTATTCTGTACAACAGTTGAGATGTAATATTGTTGATGGCCCGGTTGGTAACTTGTAAAAGAATAAAAAAATAAAAAAATCCCAATACATTTTTTATTTAATGAAACACCTAGTCAAACCACCTGCTGTATATTCACCGATGTTTATGTTTATCGAGATGAGCGCGTGTGGCAGTTGGTCACTGGACCACATCCAATCTTTTCTTTATTTTGACTCATTCTGGTGTGCACCCTTTTTTTTTTTATTAATCATCTTCTCTTTATTTAACTTTGATCCATCACAGCTCACCCTTATTTGTTTTGTTGACATTCTGGATTTTTTGAGTGGTCATTGCGGCATTGCCGTACTTGCGTATTCGTACAGCAATACGCATTACCTGTCT